TTCATAGATCAGTAAACTATTGTTGTAATATAATGCCAGTAACACAAGGTACTTTTTAATACTTTTAACTAAAGTTTGTAAATAATTTCGCAATTCGCTTTCATCGAGCGCGACGATTTTTATAATAAACCATTAATAATAATAATTTTTCAATTTTCTCTGTGGGGGTATGGATCTTTTCTGGAATGAACCATTACTGAACAACTTTTTTAACGTTTATCAAAAGTTTGTGTATAATTCAGCAAATATTTTACGGTCAACAGTGTATGTTTTTAAAAAATTAAAAGCATTGCTTCGCGGCTTGTTTTTTTTTGCCTAGTGATACAGTATTCCTATCATATTTAGAACTGCTGTATGGACTTGCATTTTAATTTGCACTCAAAGCAACGGATTTTTCAACGCTTTCTTTCATACAAATCTTTCAGAAATATTTGGTCAATTTCTGTTTAAAAAATTTGATCCTACGGTTGCTTGGGGTAGGCTATACTTCACGTACTGGTGGCGCGAACATCGATCCCGCATGCTACTGTAGGCATCCGCCTTAATGTGTGCAGACTCATAATTATAGACCTTCATTATAACTATTAAATCGAGCAAATTTATTTGTTTTTCATTTTCTTCTTCCTTAATTTTTACTTTCTATGCTTGGCGAAACAATATCTTAAAAACGTACATTAACAACGTTATTTTTATTATTATCGATATCCAACTTGCTTTAAAAAATTGTTACTGACAAGACTATTCTTATTAACTCAACAAATAATAGTGTTGATAAATAATGTATAACAAACTAATGGGTTGAATCAATGTATTTGTGGATATACTGTATTACATCCAGGCACTTTAAACTAGATCAATCATTTGACGAGCTATTTCAATGTTCTTGCTCCCGTTAGCAATTATATAATACTGCGAAGACTTGGCAATAATATGTCCTGTCAATAGGCAGCATATCTGAGTTAGGAGCTTAATATTTATATTTCAGTCTCCATTTCTCAAAACAGTCCTCAATAATTTGTTTGTCCACTTCGGTTGAGATTTTCTTTCCATAGACGCGAACGTATTGCTCGGAGAATGTCTGTGGAAGCATTCTGCTCACGTCATCTCTACCAATTGAACTAGTAATTTCGCCATTTTTCTTGTAAAACAAGACAGATTTCACGGGGTCTTGATCTTCTTTGCCAAAATGAATATCAACAATGCTGACAAAGATTTCGTTCGGATCTACACGGCCTTTGGATAGTGACGCGATTTCTTCAGCAGCTTTCGAAACATGACTATTTTCTAATTTTTTGGTTGGTTGAAACTGGCCACAAAGCTTATACAAATTTCGCTGCTGGATCCTTTCGAGAATTTCTTTCGCTTTCTTGGTCTTCTCATCTGCATCGTTGCTGCGTAAGATTTCGTAAAATATGCTATCGGTGAGCTTGATATATTTTTCCATATCGGATATAGCCTCGGAGAACTTGTATTTATCTTCTAACAGAACAAGCGCATCTGTAATCATTTCCTCGACGGCTTTCGTGGTTTTATGTTGATAAGCGCGATGATGTAATGACCATCGAGTATGGAAAAGCTCGTATATATTGAAAGCAAGCTTATCGCGTGGACACAAGTGTAGCCCATTGTCGTCTGGCGATAATTTTATTTGAATATTGTGAATTTAGCGAAGATGATCGAAATTGCTCTTCATTCCCAGGTTGTGACAATCACGGGCAAAATAATCGAACTTATCACAATCAACTTCGTATATTTTGTTGGCAACTATTTCGAACAGAAACCATTTCGATTTGCCATCTACAGTAGGGATCTCCATGATCTTATCTTTAGCGGGATCTTTACCTTTTATGAGATCTTTGATAAGACTTCGCTTATTCTCATCAAGATGTCTCTTCTCAAAAGCATTTTTTAATCCTTCGGTGTTCTCCAACATGTAATCAAACATGTCACAAGATGCATCTTCATGCTTCCAGTTTTTCAATTTCTTTGCTTGTTCACCGTGGTAGACTTTGCGTTCATTCTTATTATCATCTTCGCATAGCTCCTTCGACAATGTATCTATTTGACTTTTATGGTACTCGATCAATTTCGTTTTCATTCGTGTATCAAACACATGAGAAAATGGACCATGGCCCAAATCCTGTGAAATATAGGAAAACTATAACAGAACGTTTTAATAGGAAGGAAAACTTAATGCTGTTTCGCACTTATCAAACACTATCATTTGAATGTTCATGCTTCTAGCTACTTAAATATATGAGCAGAATAAATGGCAAAATTTAATAGATAGATACGTACATGGCAGAGAGCAGCAATTTTGACACACAAGACGTCCTCATCGGTGATATAATGTGTATCTTTGTGAACATCTTTCAATCTTTCAATCATCATCCCAGCGAGGTGCGCAGTGCCAAGAGAGTGTTCAAAACGATTGTGCGAAGCACCAGGGAATATCCAGTACGAAGCTCCCAGCTGCTTGATGTCTTTCATTCTTTGGAAACACGGAGTGTGAATGATGACGACCAACAGAGGATCAAATTCCATGTAGTCATGAATTGGATCATTGAATCCTGTCTTATCTCCGGCCATAGTGTGGTAGAATGAAATAAGATTCGAAAATTATAACTTGAGCGGGATTCAATTAGTCACAATATTTTGTGAGGAGGCGTACTAATTACGTGGATGTCAAATCCACGAGGTTTTGTAGTCACCGGATTTAACATGACATATTATCATACTCATACGTCAAAACTGTATGTGAGGAAATCTATTCCAGCCCGAAGAAGAAATTAATTTTGATCGATAAAAAGTAAATTAAGCATAACTAAATCGATTCACCTGGTACATATAATAATATTGCCAGAGCAATACTCAGCAGGCAATAGTTTATTGGAAGGGAAAGATAATAAACCGTCTCAGTTAACAGGTACCAAATAGTTACTGGCTGAACTTGCTTCAAATTTTGGAATCCGGACTGATCTTTCAAATGCAGGAAATACAGCAGAAGTTACAAGACAGCCACTAACTAAAGGATTTTCAAAAGTTCAGCCGTTATGTCGAGGTTTCTTTGTCAGGTTTTGCAATCAGAATTCGCCTAACTAAAGTTGCTGTTCTAGATCTGTATCAAAACTGATGCGATGCAACTAATTTTAGCATCCAAACAACTATATATGTATGCTACTTCAACACTTCCAGGTTCGGCTTTGCACATCTCTACAGCTGGCATTACATTCTATTGTCAGTCACCTTTTTCTGGCTTAATGAAATATTATTTTTGTTTACACAGTTTTGACAAGAAATGGGCAAGAAAAGACAAAAATTAAAAGGGAGAAAGCATTATTATTCAAACAATGAATGTTTATGGGCTAATCAAGTTTCTTGTAAAATTCTCATGTCATTCCCTTTAAGCTAACGTTGGACAAGCGCCATTCCTGGTAATAGCTAGCTCCGGGAGGCGGTATTCGTTCCGCTTTGCTATTTACACAATAAGAAGAAAATAAGAAGAGAAGCTATCCAATAAGAAGAAAAGCAATCGGCGTTATACCATGAGCCAGAGGCAACGCAAGCTCCATTCGTGAATGTAGAGCTAAAACGCTTCAACTTCTAAATTGTAAACAAATTATTTTGGCCACTTATCCACCAACAAATATCCAATTTTACTGAGAGACCTTTTTACTAGCTAGTGCTGTTCATCATATTCTTCAAGTTCACTATTTACTTCAGCATGCTGGATCGTCAGCGAACGGGACGATTACAAACATTTGAGCTGAAAATGAAAATGAAAATGATTGTCAGAATTAAGGGGAATTTGCAACTTGTGCTTCATATTGAATTGTACTTGAATGTAGCTGAAATATTATTCGGAAAAGGACATGAAAATTTGCCATGACGATCAAAATTCAAAGATAGGCAGCCTTAAATCACGAAAAGAAACTTGGATAACCCCGTGTTGAAAAATACATGATTTAGGAAAGATGTTATCTGTCTGTTTGTTAATGATGTATTATCTGGCCTGCAAAAAAGGCGAGATCTTTTTTCAGTCGTTTAAATGAAATAGATCACCATCCTGATAGTCTCGCCTTGTCCCAAAAAACAGCCATAATCGAGCGCTAAAAGAACAAATTGTTCGCCATTTCCTGAAAATGTATGAGACAATATACTGCGAACGTTTATCTTGAAACACACCAGAGATTTATCTTACTTATCTTACTGAATCGCGTTTACTATCTCAACATACAAATTTTGAGCTCTTCAAAAATAAACAGCGGAACGTACGTTCCAAAATTCTCAGACGAACGAAGAGGTATGATCGTTGTGTTTTTTTAAGTCCAGGGGCGGCGTTAGCCATTTTACTGGGGGGTGAAGTGTAGCGGGAGGGGAGGGGATAGAAAAGTTATTTCGAGAAAAAATCCCGAGAAAACATTGTTCCTTTCTTCCCCAACTACCGATTCTCGTCAGTAGCGTAGCCAGCCCGACGATTTAGTCCCACTATGCAAATATTTTCGTGTTCATTGACTGTGACAACAATCAATTTCTAAAGAAATGAATAATGATAATAATTTTGAATTTGCAAAGCGGGACTAAATTGTCGGGCTGGCTACGCCACTGATTCTCGTTAACCTTTCCTTATTGTTTGTCTCAATTTGCCAATTTTTTTGCTAGAATCTTCGATTTGCGCCGCCTCTGACTAAGTTACGTTTCCTACTGCGCATGCGTGTCCGACATTTCTCGCCATGGGTTAAGACATGTGCATGACAACAATGATTCAAAGAAAGTCTTAAATGGCATAAACAACATGCAGTTGTATGTTTAGAAAGGTTATCCTATTTTCGCTAATCCTAGACATTGTCCACCTTCAATCTGGCCAGAAAATGTGGTCTAGCCCGGCATACCAAACGATTCAATATCAATTATGATTATATATTTATATATATATATATATATATATATATATATATATATATATATATATATATATATATATATATATATATATATATATATATATATATACATATATATATATATATATATATATATATATACAGGGTGTCCCAAAACACCCTGTATATATACATAGAAACGTTTTTGTTTTGCATCGATTGACTATTCTACATCTTTCTTTAAGGTGTAATTTTTTACATACCTTCAATCTTCGCAATTTTTCTTTCTTTCGTATTCGAGAACGAGATGTTAGAATTCCCAAAACCTCAACACTACATAAATTAAGGGAAACGGTTGGTTATTTGCGCCCTTCATTTAGCGTTGATGCACGGAATGTACTTTCAGTTTTTTATAGTCTTTTTTTAGAATTTCAAAGTGATGGGCAAGATATGTAAAAGCGACATGGCCCCGCTCTTATTCCTGATGGCACTAAATATTATGGAACTTCTGAAATTTTTTGTTCTCAACATGCGAATACCTTAAGGTCAGATTGAAGAGATTTCTGTGAAAATAAATTTTGCTGTCTCAAAGACCCATGATTGGCTCTTTCTCGACATATCCCCTCTTTACCCAAATCTAAATTACATGTAGTGGACAATGTTAAGCATTGTGCATACATCTAGAAAGTGACCCCCTTCATTCCTCCACCAATGGGCATCAGTATTTTATAGTAAGTGCTCTTCAGCTTGAGCCAAAATTTGATCGCCACTCAGTACTTATCAACTGCCTCACTATAGTTGTCAAATGACAGAATGGAGGGTCTGAGGTACTGAACAAATTGAGTAATTATAAGGAAAGTTTTACTTTGTTTTTACTCATTACACACTTTATACTGTAAACAAAACAAAATGTTAAATAACTATGGGTTCTTATCTTTAATTAAATATTTATAACGTTTGGTCAGAGGTTCCATGTCACTGGGGCTCATTTTCCCTTGAGCATCGGGACAATGGAAGGGGCCCCCTGCACTCTTAAAAATAGGTGTGTTGCAAAACACACAAAAATGTGTTATATAGCACGTTAAGTGTGTTATACAACACATTTTACTCATGCGATTTCGACATAACACACCTTTGTGAGTTAAATAACACACACATGTGCGTTATATAACACACAGTTTCAGTGCTTAACACACTGCGATGAGGGTGAATGTGTTACATAACACACTTTCAGAAAAACACACTTTTTGTACCGTGTTAGTTAGCACACCCTTGATATGAAAAGTGTGTTAATTAACCCAAATTTAAAGATAAACACACTTTAATAGAAAAACACACTGCACAGAATAAACTCACTTAACCAACAAACACACCTTTACAAAACACACATCTTAGACTAACACACTTTTATAAAACACGCTTTATAGTAGCAAGCCTAATCGCAGGCTAGATGGCTCGCTATATTTGTAAAATAAGACCAACTGAATAGCTAACACTTTTCTGGGTTCGCAATTGCAAATGAGTACATTTCAATTCAAAAAAGTTCCAAAGTCAAGATGCAAAAATTGAGCAATTTTTATATCTGTGGGCTTTCTTTATATGACCTGAACGGACTTGACATAGTCTTTATTAATACTGAAACAGTCTAATATTATTTACTGGCTGATTATAAACCATTTCACAAAGGAAACATTTGAATTCACAAGTGGTTACTGGACATAATAACAGAAATAGTTCCCATGTGTAACGTGTGTTATGCATTTCATACAGATTGGAAACTGGAAAGTTAAAAGTATGCGAGCTGCGCAAGCAATCGAAATTGGAGCTCAAATTATTGCATTTCAAATACTACAAAACGCTACGCAATAGCTGAACACAGTGTGGTCAGCTATTGCGTAGCGTCTTGTAGTATTTGAAATGCAATAATTTGAGCTCCAATTTCGATTGCTTGCACACACTATAACACACCATGAAGCCGAAATATTTGAATATTCGCGCGCCGCATGATTGAGCTTTCAAGTTTCAACCAATGAGGATAGTGCTGTCGTGAAATCTAATACCTTCTTCTTGCAATTGATAGTAGCATTAGTAACTGCGGTTTGTGGTCGTTTGTATGAGAATATTATTACATACATGTGTATTTGTGGTGCGAGTGGCTTCTTTTCAAGTGTCAGTGCGATGGAATTTATACAAACGGACTAAAATGGCTCTAGTATTTTCATATTTCAATCCATATCATGAAGATGGCTTTAAAACAGAGTGAGGAAGGGACGAGCATGGTTGCAGTTTGTATTTGAATGACAACGGCTCGCCGCCAAATTATGCAATTCAAAACGTGTGGTTCACAGCGTCAATATACTAAGAATTCCGCCTTGACAGAGAAATAAAAGAGGTGGTTAGAACTAGTTCGCCTGTAACTTCAAGGATGTAATACGTCGAAAGGAATAAGGTGAGTTATTATAATATAATGCGAGAATTATAATGTAATGATTGTTGTCTGCGATTACAATATGATATGACTGCTTTAATATTGATCGGCTGAGGCTATTCTCTGCATTATCAATTTGCAGTCTCAGACTCTCAGTTAAGAAAACTTGCGCGCGTTTTTATTTACAAGTACCTTTGTCTGATTTATCTTGCGTTTACTGTTTTCCTTTCAATTATATAAAGACAAATATTTTAGAACCTGAGCTGAAAAATCGAAAATAACTGTTCAATGCCCAACACCTCAACTATATCATATACATATACACATATAGGAATGGATGATTTTGTGCATTCACTACGCACAACAATACAGACAACAATATTTTATTCATTAAATTTCAATGGCAAATGGTAGTGTTTTTATATTGATTACTGAACGGTGGAATTTCTTTTATTTATGATACTCTGTGTGTAAGAAGATATACAGTATACACTACACAGCTGGACCTGAGCTGGTGCTTCATGAATATTTTTTGCCAACTCTAATTTTATATTTCATTTTTAAACATTAAGCTGCAATGTCCCCAAATATAGCTTATTTTATTGTTTTCTTCTGTCTAACGCCAGACAATCTTGATTTTATTTGCCAAAGGGATCTTATGAGGTAATTTTACCTATCAATGGCCAATGGGAGAGTCCTAAGTATTAATATGGATTATTATATAATATTCACATTATAAAATTGCAAAACATAATTCTATTTCTCAACCATGTCAAAAGATAAAGCAAAATTAATAAAATGTTTATTGCAACACCTGATAGAATCTCATTTTGAAGTAGAATAATTGCTACATCTAGTGTTAAGGTGATCTCTTATCCGTCCTGGACAAATAGCCCATTCGACAGGGGTGAAGTAATTTTTCTTTCTTGAAATGGCAATGTATCGATATGGTTTTTCAATGGCAAAATGCAATTGGATTGTACCAGTGACTAATTATATTAAGTTAAAGGGGCCCTACAATTTTTTTTAGTTGAAAAGCCATTGTTTACATTTTTTGTTATTGTCGCTTCTTGACATGCGCATCACAGCATGCATGCATCTTCCGGTATGCGGAAGTACTCATACTCATGGATACTGCATGTAAGATACAGCCAAACGAATCTCTGTGGAGTCCGCCACTTAAGGTGGCTTTTTAACTAAAAAATGACTGTAGGACCCTTTTAAGGTAACACATGCTCAATGGTTTCCCTGTTAGATACTGTACATACTCACTTTGAAGCAGATTAATTGTACGCCCATATTCTACTGTTATTTCTACTGTGTCCAGGATGGATAAAAGATATGCCATCTCAGCTTAACACTCCATGTAGCAATTAATCTAACAGGGAAGGTACTGATAAATTATCTAACAGGGAAGCCATTGAGCCAGTGTTTCTTAGCTATATAATTAATCATTGGTGCAATCCAATTGCATTTTGTCATTGAAAAATCATATCAATACATCATCATTTCAAGAAAGAAAAATTACTTTGCTATATGGTGTAACCTGTGTCAAATTGGTCATTTGTCCAGGACGGATGTGCCATCTCACCTTAACACTATCGCCAATATTCTAAGAGCTCACTCACACTCAATGAGTGGAGATTCAACATGAGCTTCTGTCAAGTGTCATTGCCGTTTTTAAAAAGCTGGAGGGCTAGTGTCATACCTTACTATGTAACTACTCACCGTCTCACCCTATTCAAAAACAGCATTGACCCTCAAGAGAAGCTCAGATTAAACCTGAGCCACTCATTGAATGTGAATAAGCTTTTAGAATACAGGTAGTGTTAAGGTGAGATGGCACATCTCTTAAATCCATCCTGGACAAATGACCCACCTGACACAGGTAACACTATAATGAAGTAATTTTTCTTTCTTGAAATGGCGATGTATCGATATGATTTTTCAATGGCAAAATGCAATTTGACTGCACCACTGATTAATTATATAGCTAAGGAACTCTGGCTCAATGGCTTCCCTCTTAGATAATGTAGGCCTACTCTGTTTGAAGTTGATTAATTGCTACAAGGATTGTTAAGGTGAGATGGCACATCTCTTATCTAATTAAGTAATTTTTCTTTCTTGAAATGATTTTTCAATGGCAAAATGCAATTAGACTGTATGTCTGTACCAGTGATTAATTTGTTAATGTGTCACTCACTTTCCTGTTAAATACTGCTTTTGAAGTAGTCAAGTAGATTAATTGCTACATGTAGTGTTAAGGTGAGATGGCACATTGAGTGGCAGCACTCCCCTCCTGACGAGTAAAATTATCTGGCGTTAGACAGGGTAAAATAATGTGGCGTTAGACAGAGTAAAATAGTAAAGTAGGGCGCATTGCCACTTGAAGGGTCAATGTGTCACTCACTCACTATTGTCGATATATGCTTGCCCCTTACAAGCTGAATTTTCTCTACTTAATTTAATTTTTTGGGAGTTGTTTATCGGTTGAATTTACTGTTGAACCAAATTTATGCCACTTCTCTCTAGATGGATGGCTCATTTGACACATCAACCCATTAATTGTCAACACTCACCCTTGATTTGGTTTGAGATGATTTGGTTTAAGATAGGGTACATGTAAAATAACAAGTAGGGTGCACTTACATGTAGTACAATGCCAAATCAAGTTCCAGTCTTCCAGCAGTCTCTTCTTGTGGAGTAAAATAACAATGAATGGCTACAATGCTACTTAAATACTTCAAGGGCTAACCGAAGTTACCAAATACACTAGCAGGTGCTAAGGTTAACCCATTAATGGACAAAAATCTTCCCTTGACAAATACCTGTAAAATCATTTTGCAGTAGGCAGATTAAATAATAATGTAGGGTTGCCGAGTATTTAATATAAACCTTATGGAATTGTCACAATTTTTTTAGTGTTATGGCTATACATGTAGGTAGCGTTGCTTTGCACATCCTTAGCATTGCTCCCTGATGCACCCTTTATTTCCTTTATTTGACTCTGTCTGACACCAGACGACTTTTTTGAAAGAGAGAGTTTAAGGTTTAGTTTCTTAATCGTTGAGAACAAATTTAATAAGGAAATGGCATTTATGGCTTCAAATTGCAAACTTTTTCCGGAGGAGAATGCCCTATAATAATGCAACACCCCCCCCCTCTCATCTTTGGAAAACATCCACCCCTTCTCTAACAAGTGAAGCTTGATCCACCCGAGATTCATTTCAATATTTGCAAATATGTTCTGCTTGTCCATATATGTCTCATGTGTGTAGGATGTACTTTTAAAAGCATTGTTTTTTTCTTAATACATTAATTCATACATTTGCTGTTTTGTGTTCTTTGCTAGATAGATGTGCACAGATCGTTACAATCATATCCTGGTACTTATGAAATTTTCTCCAATCTTACATCATGTATATGTCTCTGGCAGACACAAACCTTATAGTACAAGAAAATAGTGGATGACCCTGAATGCCTTTATATTTGACATTTACAGAGGAAAGATTCCCCTAATGTGGAACGGACAGTGATTGAAGGTTAAATAAATAAATAAATAAATAATATATTCACATTTTTAGACAGTGTAGAAATTGTGTATAAGGCATGCATGTGTCAGTGTAGGTAGTGATTAACAACATATATACTGTAGTTGCATAGAGTTACTTTTGCTTTGTACTTATAAGTGGCAAAACCCCCCAAAGAAACTTCACTTGTCTTGACCTGCCATTCAACCAATATGGCCAAACGTCTGGCAAATTTTGCATAGCGTAGTACAGAATATATGAATAATATAAATTATAGCCTATAGGCCGCATTGTGATTAACGATTCCATATTTTCCATTCATATTTGTAAATATTTTAAAGTACATGTAATAAAGTGTATGCACAATTTCAGTATTAAAATATTCATTTCTTTTATCCAAAATTCTGTAACACATTTAAAAGTGTGTTTCTGTTTAGAAACACTTGTATGTGTGTTGTTTAGCACACATAAAGGTGTGTTTTAGCAATCCACTATTGTGTGCTAAATAACACACCTTTTTAGATAACACACTTAACAATAACACACTGTTGTGTGTTTTTAAACCCACTGTTGTGTGCTAAATAACACACTTTTTTCAATAACACACGTAAAGCGTGTTAATTTTTGGACAAGCCAAAAACACACCCTAGGGTGTGTTATCTAACACACTAGTGTGTTATATAACCCGTGTTAATTTCTGGACAAAATAAGTAGGTTATATAACACAGTTATTTTTAAGAGTGTATACACTCTAAAAGCACTCTGGTTAAACTTAATATTTGGGTTAACTTAATATTCCGGGTTAAATGTTCTGGTACTACAAACTAGGTGGATAAATAACCAGGGGTTGGCTCTTGGCAACTATACTCTGCAGTGCAATATCAGAAAACTACAAAGGAATCACAGGGCCACAAGTTCATCTTTCAATCGGAACCCGGCCTATAATTCAGGTCATGCACAATGTTCAGTTTCATTTGAATCGTTAGCTATTTATCCTCTAATCTTTTAGAGTCAGTTAAACGGTCACTGTATATGCATGTATTTATTTTATGGTCATAGGCAAATTTCAATTTTCTTTAAAAATAAATAGGACCATGCAGAAACACTGTATAATGGCTGACTTACTATAAATTTTTACTACAATTACAACTGATTTTTCTTCCGTTAGAGTGTGGCTTTGTGCCACGCATTTGTAAGTTCCACTGTCTGTTCCAGTAACATTACTTCGAGTCAATGTTTGTTCTTTTTCTGTTGTACCAATCTGAACGCCATCTTTGTACCAAGTTACACTGGCAGGAGGGTTTCCATTTTCACCTCTGCATACACATGTGAAGTCTTTGCCTTCATCCACAGTGAAGTCTTTGCAGCCTTCATCCACTGTGACGAAACCGCGACAATTGATTGTTTCAGTTGGCTTCACTGAAAATGTATCGAAAATTCGAGGGTGTTAAAAATGTTTCCTTGCATTTGAAATGTTGGTAGAAACTTTCTAAATCTGATTGACAAACATTTCCCTGCGTCTAAAGGTACGTTTACACGCTGCGATTTGTCGGGCCGATTTTGCTCGCTGTATGTAAACAACCTGTCGTGAGTACTCGCGTCAGCACATTGCGATTCACAAAATCGGGAGAAAAATCTGTAACAAAACCACAGATTTTCTCACGATTCAACGATTTTTCTTCCGTTGTAAAGTTGTTGAAAACTTTTCGCACACAGAAAACTATAATATGAACAGACGAGAGAGCGGACAGCTTCAATTGAACGTTTAAATCGCTAAATGTCGAAGAAGGGACATCGATTTTTTTTCAAAATCGGCCCGACAAATCGCAGCGTGTAAACGTACCTTAACCCGCTACATGCACAAGACCTTTTAAAATTAACATAACTGTAAAATTAAGCGTCATCTCCAAGCATAACTTTGGCATCCTTGTAAGGACTAAGAATATTGTAGTAGCATTTACCAACGACAAATGCACTGTCGAAAAAGCAACGAATGCCCCTTTAAATAATAATTGCCTTATAAAGAGGGTTGTCTATAAAGCCGAGGTCAAGGACGACAGAGGAATAATTAGGAAATACATTGGGATGACATCAAACATATTTAAGAAACGTTATTACAACCATAAGACCTCATTCGAAGATACGAGCTACGTTAAATCCACTGAGCTGCCCAAGCACATTTGGCATCTAAAGAACAAGAAACGATAATTCTGAAGCAAGCATCATCCTATTGCAGCGGCGCAAAGAGTTGCAACCTATGCCTTCATGAGAGATTGGAAATGTTGAGAACTATTCTCGAAGCACAGGAAGCAATTATCGGCGGGAAAATCTCTCTCCTCCTCAGAGCCTTCAGAGGCAGGCTATGATTGTTGAGATACATTTCACTACACTTTACATGGCGGATCTTGGAACACGAGTCGTGTTCCATCTCAATACTAATCGTAATCATAGCCAACTAAAGCCTCTGCGGAGGAGAGAGACGTGCGACACTGAGTTTTCTCGTACAAGTTGAATGACATTTGGTGATTGTAAAATCTAGTTTTAAAAGAGTTTTCAGTAAGACTAACGTATGTTTGAAGTGGTCTGTTGTTGTTGGTAGTGATGCTTGAAGTGGTCTGTTGTTGTTGTTGATATCAATATTGAAATATGATATCAATATATATGGTGTTGTTGATATCAATATTAACGCCTAACCGTAAGAATTTCATTACGGTTATGCAAAATGAAATTAACAAAACTGCAAAAGTTGTTGTTGGATATTTTATTCTGTCTATTTTAACTGATTTGTGCAGCATATTGTCAAAGCGGAATATAATCTGCCGGTATCGTGTGAACAGTTGAAACCGTGATGATTTTCTGCCGGCAGAATTTCATGCCGGTGTCACAGGAGATTCGCCCCCCCAGGAGATTCGCCCCCCTCTCAAAAGGGGGGCGATATTCCTAGGATATTCGCCCCCCCCCGGGGCGAATCTCCTAGGAATATCGCCCCCCAGGGGGGCGAATCTCCTAGGAATATCGCTCCCCTTTAGGAATTTCGCCCCCCCTATAAATTTTGAATTTTTGATCTAAAAACAAAATGATTGCAAGTTGAAAAGATTTATTGCGTTATTTATATATTACAAGGAGACAAACTTACATATACATTTTAGGCTTCTTAGCACTGGTGTCATGTTCTACACATTTAAAGTGGAACCATTGCCCACAGAGATCGCATAAAATCATGTTGTCGTATTCTTTTGACAGTTTACATTCACATAACGTATTATGAAAAACAATCGCTTGCAAATTTTATCAATACCAGTGTTAACAATAGCCGCCACAGTAATCACTTGCTAACAATAAACTATAGGATTAATAAAAAATCTATGGAATGTGTTGGGAAGTGTATTGATCATTGTCCGTAGAATCATCAACTTTCCATGTCAGTGACAGTGTTAGTGATGTAATCTTGATTCTTGACTTCCGCGAAGAAAATAATTGCATTATGTATAGGATAAACACCGAGAAGGAGGGACTTATGTCAGATAATGACCCGAGGACGCGCAGCGTCCGAGGGCATTATCTGACATAAGTCCGGACATTCTCGGTGTTTATCTTATTTAATTCTTGATTGAGGAGGTTTTCCAACAAAGTTTTGTCTGTTTCGTCTGCTTTGAACCACGATTTTCTGAGTTTTCCTTCATCTTTTTAGCTAATTAATATTCAAGGTTATTATTAAAAATAATCACCTCGGTACATGAAAGAAAACCGACTCAATTAAGAATTAAATATGTGGTGTGACTCAGTTATTCAAATAATTTCATGATACTTTGATTTTATTAGTGCCTCAAACATTTAAGAATGTAACTCTGCAAAACTAAAACTTTGAAACGTATATTATTGGAGTATTGCCTATTGACAAGTTCTACCCTTCGCTTCTGAGATTTACAAACTATATTGAAATAATGCAAGTAAAAAATAGTGACAACTTATAAGCCACACATTTTCCAATAACGACAAAACGTGGATGCAAATCAATACCAATAATTACAATAACCACCACGGTGATTACTTTTTAACAATGAGTTTAAGGATTAACAGTGAAAATGCAAAATACGCATGGTGTGCTGTGAAGCGTCATAAGTTCTATTGATCTACTGTAACTGTGTAAGCCCTTTCGATACATGTAATTGTAAGGGCTTGAAATAACGTTCCCAAAGTTCCCGATCATGGTGATCGGCAGTCATAACTTTCCCTGCTTTTTTCAGGTTGGAAACCGAAACCCTGCTTTTCCGCCGATTATAAGCAATTCCTTGCCGATCATTGATCGGTGATCGGTTGTTATTTCAAGCTCTGCCTTAACAATTTTGAATTGATACTGATTTCAAATGATTAAAGCCATGTAATAATTATCCGATGCAACTATTAGGAAGGGCGAAACTTTGAACGGAGGGACGAAAATCCTAAAGAAAAGATGAAGTTTCTGAAGGGGGGCGAATTTCCTAAAGGGGGGCGAAATTCCTAGGATTTTCGCCCCACTGGGGGGACGATATTCCTAGGAATTTCGCCCCCCGGGGGGCGAAAATGTAGGGGGGGCGAAAATCCTGGGACACCGGTATCGTGTGAACGAGGTCTTAGTCATACGACAATGAAAGTCATTTTTGCTCGCGGATGCTGCGAAGCAACATCTGTGAGTCTGCGGTTATACTGGAGTGTGCTGTGCGCGCACTGCTTGCCTGCGAATCTGGCTTTTCAGAACCGGAAATCGGGTTTGAGCACGCGTTCGTTCATTTGATTTGGCAAAAGAAGCACGACAAATGGCAAAATTCGCACGGTGCTCGTTTGCAAAAACAACTGCAAACTGCTCTAATTCTTTTTGTCACTTTCATTTGATCTTATCCGTGCGTCGGCCTCAACGGCCTTTGATGTAAATTGTAAAACTAAGAAGTCCTAAAATGGTAACCAACACTTGCTTGCAACAAACACATGAACAGCAGACGTAACCTAGCTGTTATTTTATTTAAAAAACTCATTAATAATTCATGAAGAAAACACAAAGAAAAATCATAAGCGTGTCGTATCTGTATATGTGATACAGATTCATGTTGATTTACATAAATTTTAACTTTGATTTTCTCGGCTTAGACAACGTTTATTTTTAAAATTACTTCGCCAATGAACTCATAAGATGATTCGTTTTTTAAGTTGTTTACAGCATTCGCGTCCATGTTGTATCAGATATACAAACTCTCGCCTTCGGCTCGAGTTTGTATATCTGATACAACACGGCCGCTCATGTTGTAAACATTACATACACACCTAAAAACGCACAAGTTGTTACAAATCTGCAAACAAGTTGTTAGAAATCTGTTCACAAGCTGTCGATTGTCGACAAGTTGTCTTCGCACTGCTTGTTCCCAGTTGTTGGAACAGGTTTGGAACAAGCTGTTAACAACTTGGAACAAGCTTGATGGCATTATCAGACTTGTTACAAGGTTGTTCTTAACAAGTCTGATACAATCATGATAAACAAAAATGTTACAAGGTTGACGACACAAGGTTGTAACAATACTGTTATATCATGACTGTATCGGATTTGTTGGAACAACCTTGTAACAATTAAGCCTGATAATAACAACAAGGTTGCTACAAATTGTTAACAGCTTGTTCTAAACTTGTTGACAAATTGGGACAAGCAGTGCGAACACAACTTGTTGACAGCTTGTTGGTAGACTTGCTGCAAGATGTGAGATTTTTGCGTGTAAAAATAATAAACTGTTATTTCCCATTGCACCGGCTACCAAGGTTCTTTAAAATCACCGTTAAGTTGAAGGCTTTTCTATTTTAAACGCCCAGGTAAGTTGGAGGGTTTATATCCCACCATCTCATCTCCAACAATTTGAGCAAATATCTGCCTTTAGGAATGAAAGTTCACGCTCAAAGAATTAGTTACGTCAGATATAAACGTTATATATACGTTTATAAGTTTTAATTACGTCAGATCATAGAGGTCATATATACTGACATCACGTTTCAACGCTATTGTCACATTTTCGCCAGGGAAAACAACAAAGGTGTCGCCACCCATACATGATTTATTTTATAGACCACCGTTTTTGCTGGGATTTGTATTTTGTAATTTGTTTCCATGTTGAATTATATTCTTTTTTAATGTATAATCATAATATGAATAATAAAATTGCCTTCCTGTATCTCTGTTCAAACGTTTGCAACAGTCAGTAATTTTAAAATCAGTCCGAACATTATCCACGTATTCGTGCGCAGGATGCCAGGATCTGTAATTGCAGTTGTCTGAACCAATCAGAATAAAGCAATTTGTTAAATGCCTGAAAATTATGCGAAATTAGCTTTTGGTGAAAAATAGGTTAAGAAGGTATAGGATATTACACAAATGACACTTACCTGCAACAAACACATGAACAGGAGATGAAGTAGTTTTACCACCTGAAACAACAACAAATGTGTACGTTCCATTGTACTGGATATTAACGTTTTTTAAAATCAGTGTTGAAGGTTTTGTTATTGTAAATGGCCCAGGCGAGTTTTGGGTGGTGTTAACCACATCTCCATCATTAAGAATATGAGCAAAACTGCTCTTTGCAAGAAATGTCCACGATCGAAAACCTATGTTAGGTCACGGGCAATAGGACAGGTGTAGTGTTGTTAAATATAAAGTTAGAAATGGTATTATACTTACTCATGCATTATAATTATGTTTAAAAGATCAGAATATTCATACCTTCTTATTTTGTTTCATAAATAGTTCTTTAATATTCGAAACAAATTCCATATCTACTTCGTCTGCCATCGCCATGTTTACTCGTCCCAATCTACATGCTGCACGGCATTGCCGCCCCTCCTGGCAAAATAATAAGCAAGCGAGAAAAATTATCTCCTTAATTTT